TTCGTCGTGCCCATTATTTCACTTCCCTCGATCTCAAAAGCGGGTACTGGCAAATCGAGGTAGATCAGCGAGACCGCGAGAAGACAGCCTTCGTGACTCCAGACGGCCTATACTAATTTCAAGTACTCCTTTTTGGCTTGTGTTCAGCGCCTGCAACTTTCCAGCGAATGATGGACACTGTCCTCACAGGGCTCAAGTGGCAGACTTGTCTTGTCTACCTTGATGATGTGGTGGTCTTCTCTGCCACGCTCGAGCAGCACCTTCACCGTCTGCACAGCGTGCTGGAGGCTATCCGATCGGCGGACCTCACACTAAAGCCACAGAAGTGCCACTTTGGCTATGAAGAGCTAAAATTTCTTGGACATGTAGTTAGCGCCGAAGGAGTTCGCCCCGATCCAGACAAGCTTGCCGCTGTTGCCGAATTACCAGCTCCTGTCGATAAGAAAGCCGTCTGGCGCTTCCTTGGTTTGTGCGCCTACTATCGCCAGTTCATTCACGGCTTTTCACAGATAGCAGAACCTCTGACTCGTCTCACAAGGGACGACACGCCGTTTGTTTGAGAAAACGAGCAACAAGCAGCTTTTGATGAACTGCGACAGCGCATGCAATCAGTGCCCGTTCTCGCTCATTTCGACAATGATGCTGACACGGAGGTCCATACTGACGCTAGTAACGTTGGGCTTGGTGCAGCGTTCGTTCAGCGTCAAGAGGACATCGAAAGAGTGATAGCCTACGCCAGCCGCTCTCTATCCTGTGCCGAGGTGAATTATTCCGCTACGGAGAAAGAGTGCCTCGCAGTCGTGTGGGCAATCACCAAGTTTCGCCTGTACCCTTATGGTCGTCCCTTCAAGATAGTGACGGACCACGACGCCCTCTGTTGGTTGGCAAGCCTGCGCGACCCTTCAAGACGGCTTGCACGGTGGAGCTTGCGGCTGCAGGAATTTGACGTCATCATCGTCCATAAGTCCGGCCGTAAGCATGAAGACGCTGACGCACTGTCTCGCCCACCCCTTCATGTCGTCAGCCAGGAAGCAGAGGAAGACGAAGGCTTCCTGGGCGCCATTAGCTCATCAGACTTGAGCAAACAGCAGCGAGATGACGCAGAGATTCATCCGATCATCGATAATTTAGAGGGCCAGGGCACAATCATACCACGTCATTTATTCCGCTCGTTCCCGTCGTTCTGCCTTCGAGACAGTGTGCTGTACAAGAAGAATGCTCGTTTGAACAACTGTGCCTACCTCCTGGTGGTTCCTCGAGACATGCGGGCATCTGGGCTACTCACGGACACTTGCCAGAGCGAGCGAGAGGTACTGTTGGCCAGGACTTTCGGCAAGCGTCAAGAAGTACGTCAAGAGCTGTCGAGAATGTCAGCGCCGAAAGCAACCATCTGTTAAGCCAGCTGGTTTGCTTCAGCCCATTGAAGCACCTTGCACGCCATTCGACCAAGGCGGCATGGACATCCTTAGGCCATTTCCCCTGTCTGCGGACAGCAACAAATGGGTGATCATCGCGACTGACTATTTGAATTTGTCACGCTACACTGAGACGCAGGCGATCCCACGAGCCACGGCTTCTGAGGTAGCACAATTTTTCATGCGCCACATCATGTTACGACACGGTGCTCCTTCCAGTATAATAACGGACAGAGGGACGGCATTCACAGCGCAGCTTATGGACGAAGTTTTCAAACTGAGCAACACCAGACACCGTAAGACAACTGCGTACCACCCGCAAACAACGGACTTACCGAGCGACTGAATAAGACCATCGCAGACATGTTTTCAATGTACATCGACGTACAGCACAAAACATGAGACCGGATCTTACCTTACGTAACCTTCGCGTATAATACCGCCGTGCAAGAGACCACGCGATTCACGCCATTTCGGCTTCTCTACGGCCGCGAAGTGCTGACCATGCTGGACTATGCTATTGTGTCAAGACGAAGACGAGTTGGCAACTGACGCCGAAGAATTCGCAGAGCGTGCTGAGGAAGCCCGGCAGCTAGCGCGACTACGCATCGGCCAGCAACAGCAGGCAGATGCACGGCGCTATAACACCCGCCACAAAGAAGTGCTTTACAACCCCGGAGACCAAGTTTGGGTGTGGACGCCCGTCCGCCGCCGTGGCCTTAGTGAAAAGTTACTGAGCCGGTACTTTGGCCCATATAAAGTGTTACGCCGCGTCAGTGACGTGAACTACGAAGTGGTTTCAGACTCAACATCGCAGGCACGGAGCAGGACATGACAGAGGCCGGACGTCGTTCATGTGTTGCGCATGAAACCATTTATTGCGTGTTGTTCGTAACTTTTTCCTTGCCATACATTGTTCTTTGTGTTATTTATTTACTTTTGTGAACTTGCTTCCTCGTTCATTGATTTTTCCTATATTGGCACGCTCGTTAATTTCTACTTTTACTTTATACGAATTTCCAATTTCTTTTTTTTTTTTTTTCACGTGCTTATGTCGTAATATCGAGGTGGTGCTATGTACTTTTCTTTCCCTCTTTTGGGACTTTTTTTTCTTTTGAAAGGGGGGATAATGCCACCCACACGTAGTGTGTCGACTGCAAGAGCGGCTCTACCATCTGGAGGAAAGAAAGAAGATCGCGTGCTTCTTCTTGACTCGAGAGCCAGCCACGACTGACTGATCGTCCTAGTGCTAGCTATTCGGTGGTTTAATAAACCCCCAGTACTTGTGATTCATCGTGACAATACACTAGGGAACTTGGTGTGGGAAGTTCGTGTGTGCTCGCTGCCAGTGACCGTGGATACCATCAGCAAGAAAGCTGTGGAACTCGCTCAAGAAGCTATGCTCACGAGAGAAGAGTTTCGTGCACCAAACTCTTGGATGCGGCGATTCATAAGAAGCGAGGGATTTTCGTTCTGGTGGCGCACATCTATCTGTCAAAAAGTTTCCAGACGAGCTCGAGGACAAGCTTATACACTTTCAGGGCTTTGTGAACTGGCTATGGGAGCAGAACAACTACATGATGGGGCAGATTGACAATGCCAATGAGACCCCCGTGTGGTTTGACATGCCTTCATCGACCATGATCATGCAGCGTGGCGCAAAGGATATGAAGCTGTTGTCCACTGGCAACGAGCACTCGCGCTTCACCGTCATGCTGGCATGCATGGCAGATGGTAGAGAGCTTCCGCCCTTCATCATTTTCAAACGTAAGACAATGCCGAAGGAAGTGTTCCCGCCCGGTGTTGTCGTTCGCGTCAACAAAAAGGGATACATTGAGGATGCCATGATGGTCGAATGGATACGAGTAGTCTGGAACCGTCAGCCAGGTGCACTGCTGCGTCTTTGCAGCGTGATGGTGTTAGATGCGTTTTGTGGTCACTTAACCGACGCTGTGAAGCGCGCACTGCGCGATAAAAAACGGACTTGCCGTGATAGCAGGTGGTATGACGTCCACCCTCCAACCGATCGACGTTGTGCTAAACAAGCCGTTCAAGGACCGAGTGCGGCTGGAGTACCAAAAGTGGATGTCCGGCGACAACCCAAAGACACTGACGAGCCGCCTACAGAGGCCTCCGCTTGCGACTGTTTCTGGCTGGTTGCATTCCGCCTGGCGTTCCTTGCCAGATTCTATGGTGAAAAATGCTTTTAAGAAATGTTCCATCAGCAACTCGCTGTATGGGACGGAAGACAACGCATTGTGGGAGGCGGCCAGCGACAAAATTCTCGTCTTCAGAAGACAGTGGTGCTTCGTCTGACGAATAGGAACAGTTGCGATGGTGGTTGAGGGGAGCTCCGACGATCGAGGTACGGTGCACCGAATTCGCAAATGAATGTCGTTTGGCAATTTTGGGTTGTTTTCCTTTTTTTTCTTTTTCGGCAACCTGAACTTAGTGGGTCGACCTATATTCTCACTCGACCTATAGTCCGGTTTATACGGTATGTCTCCATGTCATTTAAAACACATTACCAACTGCGGTCCAGCATGTGTCCCGCAGTTGAAACTTTTCATCTCTGACAGCTTTTGCTATGTTAGAGCTTTGTGATATCACATGTGCATTGTACCTAGTAAATATCAAGCTACTGCATGCCACAGCTGCTGTGGACCTAGTCGTGGTCACTAAAGATAAGGTCTTAGCGTCCACGCAGTTTCGAAGGCGGTTCTGTGCTCTACATCCAAAGTCTCAACAAAACTGCTGAGCACTGCATGAGCTGCTGAATAAACCTGGCTTGGTAATACACAATCATGGGTGAAGACTACACAGTTCTGTTCTTAAGGCAAAACGAAAAATGCTTGTTGCAGTTTTGACCCCAGCTGCTATTGACACAACCATAGACAGTGCCCAGGCAGTTCACGTGTGCTAAATAAAATAAAAAACTAAACAAGGTGGCTGCAGCTTCTTAGGTCTGGGTTGCCAACAATGTCACTGCAGTATGATTGTGGTTGGCAGAGTTGCCTTTCTGAAGGCCTGTGACTGTTTTGGTTGTCCATGAACACTGTTTTTACTCTTTTGCGTCGCACATTTGCAGAGTTTTGTGCTTGGCACACGCAGCCCCCGCCGCGTTGGTCTAGTGGCTAAGGTACTCGCTTGCTGACCCGCAGGTCGCGGGATCGAATCCCGGCTGTGGCGGCTGCCTTTCCGATGGAGGCGGAAATGTTGCAGGCTTGTGTGCTCAGATTTGGGTGCATGTCAAAGAACCCCAGGTGGTCGAAATTTCCGGAGCCCTCCACTACGGCGTCTCTCATAATCATATGGTGGTTTCGGGACGTTAAACCCCACATATCTATTAAGCTTGGCACACTCAGAGTATCATCCGAATGAACTGGATTGTGGTCAAAAGCTACCGAATTAAGGAGAGTTTCATGCCATTAAACAATGCATGGGCTTGTCAGGACCAGAACATGGGTCCGAATTGTTCTAGTTTCTGAATTAACTAGGTTAAAAATAACAAGCTTTTGCTGTATTTAATGAGGATTTTTTTTTAATTTTGTTTTAACACATTAAAATCTGCAAACTTTTTTGCAGGCATGAAGTTCCTGTTCTTGGAGCACCCATAAAGATACTTTATGATGCAGATGACATGGTTGTCATTGATAAACCACCATCTATACCTGTAAGCATGCTGGACTTGTTCTATTTATCTTGAGTACTACTACTAGTGGGAATGCCATTTATGTAACATGCTGTTGTCGTTTAGTAATGGTAACCTTCTCTCATTTCACTGTTTGGCCTTTTTTTTAAGGTTCATCCATGTGGACGGTATCGTCACAACTCTGTTATTTTCATCCTGGCTAAGGAACATGGCTTATTGAATTTGCACAGTGAGTATCCGTACTACTAGTACATCAGTAGGCAGTTGTTTGTTCTACTTTTAATAGAGGAAGGACGTTGCAAACCTTGCAGAAGAATTTATTTCATTGGCTATGAACAAAGGAGTCGGGACATTTAAAAGTGTATCACAGTTGTCAGTGCCAGCAAAACTGCACAGTGCCCTATGAAAACTATTCCTGACTTTCATTACAAGTGCTACCTACCTTGTTCTCTCGATCTGTCAAGCAAGCTTACAAAGTTGTGAACTAAAGCACTGCTATATTTAGTGCTGCAGGAATTTGAATGTATGCTCCAAATCAAAATATGTTCCTTCAGTATTTGTGTTTCTGTCATTATGAGTTGTAACAGTATTGTATTGCTTAAAGGGCCAGACACTAAAGGCTAATAATGTATGTTAAAGTGAAAGCTCAATGCTGAGGAACACCTACATTTCCAATATTATATGCAGCAAAGCTTTAGCAACTAAGAAGTTAAGATGCATGTCGAGCACTATTTGTGCCGCCTGTGGGACATTCTCGAACATACCTTATTTACTTGCGTAATGAACACACTCGCATAATGATCCCACCTTCCATCTTGGTCCTTGAAAAGAAAAATTTTAAAATGTTCATTTTATTTTGGTGTGATAGCCGGTGCCGTTGGCGATCGAAACAATGTTAAGTCAAGCCATTATATCACAAATTAATGATGCAATAAAAGTAGGAACATAGGCAACCATGCTAAATAGTTGCAAGCAGCACGAGGGCGGACGACGTCAATCAAAATTATAGTTGCGCCTTTCATGGTAGAACACCGTCTGTCGAATGCAGGAAAAACCTTTTTGCTTATAGCGCCAAGCAACCACAGCAGCACGAAAACAAAGCGCATGGTCTCCGAGATGACGGGCGCCCGGCGTGTTTTTACGCAACCCACCTGCCATCGAGGAAGCCATGCAAAACGCAACTGCGCCCATTGCGTCGACGCACGTTGTGCACCGCAACGTTTATGGGCCGCCGTTCGACACTGCGTTTTTGTTGTCGGGCTTGTCGTAGTGAATTTAGTGGGACATCTGCTGCGCTGGGCGCGTTTGGCCGGTACGCTAGCTACACTGCTGCATGCGCTGGAGCATGGGAAACGAGCGGCTGGACGACACTTAAGCGTCGTTCCATGCACATTTGTTATGGAAGAAAACAGGAAGTTTATTTGTGTAGCAGTGTTGAGGGCTACCATCCTCGCGTGCACCAGCGCAAGCACCAGCTTTTCATATCAGCTTACCGCTTCTGGGGTTGCTAATATCCATGTTGCTTTTGACATCGTTATGCAACATTAAACAACTGCTATTATAAAACATACACAGCTGTTTAATGTATGTGTGTACGTGGATTTGTACGTATATTTAGCGCTACTTTATAACGCCTCACTCAATAAAAAAAATAAAACACATTCACTTTGCATTCACATGTTTCGCATTACATCGATTCTTAAGATACGTGCATCTGGCAAATTTTTCTTTGCGCAGTTTTTGAAGCGTCCTTTTGTACTGCTTGCGTTGGGCTTCTTCGTGCTAGAAACATGGCAAAAGAATTACGATTTAGTGCCCTCATGGGAAAACAGGACAGGTGTTGTCCTACTTTTTCTTGCTGGTAAACTAATGGTCATATTTAGGTGAAGATTGCTTCGTACTATATTCTAACCACATTATTTAGATGTTCTTCTGGCACAATTCTTGTTATGTGAAAAATATTGATGGAACCAGAAAGGGCCAATTAACAAAAACATTCCTAAATATTGTAGCTGCTAATTTTAGGAAGTCAGAGTAATTAGACATCTGGAGTCAGGTGATTTTAAAAATTATATCATTCTTTTATTCTGGCAAGGTTCATCAAACTTGCATTAGGAATATAGCACAGGAAACAGAAATTGGGTGCAAAAGCACATATGGCCACATTCCATGTAGGTTTACGTTGCTGAGTGACAGGCAACCAGCACTTTACAAGGCCACCAGCATCCTGAATTTAGCTTTGTGGAGTGGCGCAGCACTGGATGCCTGCCTCGGGGGTGTAAGCAGTTCACTAGATGCTGGGAATCAGAGCTGTGACTTCAAGCTTATCAGCAGAACATCATCTCCAGGAACCTCTGCAGCAGATACACTTGAGCCTCATTTTCAAGGAATTGATATTTTACAAACTACAGTATACTTGCGATGATTCAAGCTTCTCAAAATTTCAATAAATATCACATTTTTTATTGTCTCAGTGCATTTTGAATGGATGTTAAAGCAGCTTTATTCCAACTGCTCCATCTCGTTAATTTTTTTTTTTTTGGCGGCTGCATTTTCGATAGTGGCGGAAATGTAGGCCCGTGGGCTCAGATTTGGGTGCACGTTAAAGAACCCCAGGTGGTTGAAATTTCCGGAGCCCTCCACTATGGCGTCTCATAATCATATCGGGGTTTTGAGACCTTAAATCCCACAAATCAATCATCAAATCATTAATATTTTTTTGCTTGTCCATGCTGCAAAAGATCTGCTTTGTTGTTTGAAAAAGTGAAAAAAAAAGTTGTTTTTACTGTTTTAATGGAATTTCATTGCATTACTACCTATAAGCGTTGTCAAGGCTGCAAGGGTCTTTTTTTTTTCAGCATATCTTTTGGTATTTCAAATTCCTGTGTATTAAAAGTGTGGCAGCGTATTAGCAATATGGTGTTGCGGTGAATGTGTGAGTATTAGAAAGAAATGGATATATAATGCGGTAACTTCTGCTCCCCTTTAACCCTGTTTAGGAGTGTAACTACTGCGCCATTCTGCACCAATCTGACTTGCTGCACATAAACGGCCATTTCCACGATAATTGTCGGTTGAAAGTCATCGTCATCATCATCGTCATCATCAGCCTGACTGCGTCCACTGCAGGACAAAGGCCTCTCCCATGTTCCCCCAGTCAACTCAGTCCTGTGCTTGCTGCTGCCAATTTATACCCGCAAACTTCTTAATCTCGTCTGTCCACCTAACCTTCTGTCTCTCCCTAACCTGCTTGCCTTCCCTGGGAATCCAATTATATACCCTTAATGACCACCGTATTTTATTATGTGTGATTTATGACTTCCTGTCTACACGCTACATGCCCGGCCCATGTCCATTTTCTCTTCTTGATTTCAACAATGATATCCTTAACCCCCGTTTGTTCCCTAATTCACTATGCTCTCTTCTTGTCTTAGGTCACACCTACCATTTTGTAGCATTAGCTACACTGGCCTCGCTGAGCCAATGTCGCGTGGCACTGGTCTGCGCATGCGCAATGATACTCCGCCGCCGTCGCGCGCGGCTCGCCGCCGGTGTGCGCGCAATTCGATGCGCTGCATGTACGTAAATGAACCCCAGGTGGTCGAAATTTCTGGGGTCTTTCACAACATCTCTCATGATCATATCATCCATTTTACAATGAAAAATGGACAGGTTTTTCATGATGTTATTGCAGCTGCATAGAAACCATACAGCTCCGTTCAAGTTCCTGTGCTATATCAATGCTGTACACAGTCAGCTGAATTGTGTATTACTAATGCAGTTATGCCCTATAATTTTATTAAATCAAAATTACTGGCCTTAGTTTCTGGCTTTTCATAGTGTTAGGTGTAACAACATACTGATGCTTCATATGAGAATAGTGGTGAAAGGAAAAAAGAGAAAGCCATTCATTAATCTATCAATTAGACACTGGAGCTAATGTTTAGACAGGCGTGCTTGTCAGCAACAGCCAGTATTACATAATTAAAGAATGTATTATGTGCCAAGCCGATTTTCCTTGATTTAAAGGGGCCCTCCAACACTGTTGAAGCACTTATTTTTTGTTTGTGGTTTGCGTAGACCATAGCTGGAGATCATTTTAGCATAGGTGTAAGCAGTGATATCAAATTATTTAGTATTTTAATCATGGAATAAAGTCAATACACCGCAGCCGACCGCCATCACCACATAGTGGCACTCGCCAGAAGTTTGCGGGTGGAAATGACGCCGGAAGGTTGCCATCATATGATTGGATAAATATAACATTAGAAACTATCTTAGCATAGAATCAAAACTGAGGTTAATCATCTGTTTCATTTTTCTTCTCATCGAACCCTGAACAGGCGTGGCCACGACAAAAATGATCACTGCGACTACGAAGAACACTGTAGCGCGATAGAGACGCTGGATTCCATTTCATCACTGGATTTCTGGCTTGCACGGGTCGGATGTCCATACGAAAGATATCTCTCTCTTTCTTCCCTCTTCTTGCTTTTGGGAGTTTCCGAGCTGTCTCTTTTCACACATGCACTGTTGAAGGGGTGCAGTGCATCATTGTTGTTCATCGGGTGGCTCACCGAACAAAGCGCGAAGGGTCAGCAATACTTCACTGTCGTGGTCGTTCCACAAGTTACTTTCTCAGAATGAAAGGAGGCAGTGACTGAATGTTGTAAAGAACAGCAGTAAATACCTCGCTTCTACATAGTAGCTCCCGCTCCCGTTCTGGCAAGCCAGGCGTCATGCATCACATTTGTTATTGTGGCAACAAGGTCAACATTACCTTGAAAAAAGGGAGGGGGGTTTACGAGCTTCTCCAAAGAAGCCGCTCTAAGCTTATTTCATTTGGAACTGCCCTCCGACATCACAGGCGAGTGAAATGTGGGTAAGTGACCCCACGAAAACAGAGTTGAGGGTCAGCATTTTTTTTTCTGTATTTTGAATTTCCGAAGTCACATAACTTCAGACTGCGTGCCTTAATCACCGCTGTTTTTGCTGCATTATTCTGTCTGTACTTCAGTCTACACAACCGACGAATAAAACATGGGCGGTTGAAAAGGGCGCTGCATATAGAGATGTATGAAGTTGCTAATGAAATTTAAATAAATTTTCAAACTGAGTTTCACTTTACCCCACCAAGATAGCCATTACTATGATATCTTCTTAGACCAGAAAAAGCGCATAAATGAAATATGGATGGCTACCTTGCTTTGAAAGTTTTCATGACAGGGTCACCATTTTATGAACATTCTAGGTGTATTTTTGCTCCACTTCACCATGATGCCATGGATATTGACAGCATTTGCTTAGGTCTTCTTAATTTTTTACCCGAAATATATGGAAAGCTCAACTTTACCTTGTGAAAACGCTTGCTTTGCGAAAAAACGTGCAAAAACAAAATTTAGGGGGCAATGTGGCCATGGAAGTTTCCGCACCAGCTTGCCGTGACGTAATGAATTTTGGCGGCATCTGTTAGAGCCTTCATAATTGATTATCGGCAAAAATTGTTTACGTTGTGCTTTAAAGAACCCAAAGCCTTTTCATACCAACTTGCAGAAAATTTTATTGAATCAAAGCAGCCACCAGCATGTGCAAAAAGACTGAAATTTATGACTTCACATTAATAATCACACGTTGATGTTGGGACCAAATTGAAAAATGAAACATTGACTTTCCACATCCCTTCTCATAACTAACCTGTGGTGGAAAAATTGAAGATAATACGGTTCGGTAAAAATAACTCTTGTATCTAAGCTGACAAATGTTGCCATTGTAACATACTCATGTTCACCTCACCCAATTTCAAGCTATGCTCTGACAAGGGAACAGGGACAATATGCTTATCTTAGACGCATTGGTGCTGCACGTTTGGAGAGTAGTGGTGCCATCAAGTGAGCGTAACAGGCCAATGACAAAACCAGATTACAAGGCACTAATGGCGAATTCCATCGGGAGAGCTGGAGCACTCAAAAGCACGCTGAAAGGACTCTCTTCAGAGCCAGCGCGTTTCAGTTCAAATAGGTGGAGGAGCACTGCCATTCATTGGTAGAGCAACAGTGCTTTTGCTGCACCAAGAGCAATCGGGACCAGTTTGTAGTGCTCTCGCCTGAAAAGCAGAGTAGGCGGTGTGCAATGAGTCACGTGGGTCTTGAACATCACAGTCTCCTAATTTTTATTCAGCCGGCGCAATTCTTCCTCTATGAGCCGGCGAGTGCGACGCCAATGGTAGCAACCACATGTAGTTTGACACCGGTGTTTTGTACAGATGGCTACGATGATAGCTGGACGTCTGCCACATGCATCGTTGCACAAACATACTAGGTGTTAAGATAATGAAGAATCTGTGGCTGACCGATTTCAAGAGTATTTTACTGCTGCCCCACAGAGGATAGGCTGGGGCTTGGAATCTTTCCATCACATGGTCTCCCCACTCATCACCCCCTTCTTTCACCTGCCCTCCGGGAGCGCGCTGCATTCCAGTGGCAGGTTGAGTGGCCCTGCTCTCAGTGCTCTGCCCCCCATTACTCACTGGCCTGCCCCCCTCTACTCCTGTTCTCTCAATGGAATTCGCCATAAGTTGCCCAACCTGCAGTACTTCCATTTTTGCCATTACCGTGATGGCTTCTATATAACCTTAGCCTTAAGGCAATAACATCACCCCGAACATTGTGTGTTCTATGTGCAAGTGAAAGCATGCAAGGGCAGACAATAGCAGCCCAAATGGTGATAAAGCACACTGGCTGTCCTCTGTTTGGCAGAAGGCAAATGAGGTGTTTGTGGTGGGCAGAGGGTATCTGCGTGTCTTCGGCAGGAACTGTGCTCTTTGATTGGCCAAGCGCAGTGACATGCACCCTTTTAAGTGAAGAGCACTTTAGGGAGCCAGGTTGTCGTATCCTGTCGCGTGCTGTCGTCGCCACTTGGTGTAACGCAAGCAAAGCCACATATAGCATGACCAGCTGTAGCATATTGAGCATACACTCTTGCCAAAAAGAAGCCTTCTTCCTCTTATTCTTCATTTGTCTGGATGACGACATTAACATGTCTTCTTCATCTTGTTCCTCGAGCACCTTGATGATGTTAGTAACGCAGGCAAAACCACCTTTAGCATAGCCAACTGTAGCATATTTAGCACACGCTCATGCCAAATAGAAGTAGTCTTCCTCTTGTGTTTCGAGCCCCTTGATGGTGATATCAAGTGTGGATATTACTACTATGGTTAGGGAAACACGAGAACACAAAAAAATGTATAAAAATTGAAAGTTGAAGCAAGCGACAAGAGGAAAGAGAAAGAAGGGAAAATAGGAAGGAAAATAGAATCAAAGAAATGAAACACAGAAATAATTGGAAAAGAGAAGGAAGTGAGAAAGGGAAAGATGAAAAGAAACAAAGGAGGCTGTCTAGCTCTACAATTACCTCAGACTTGGCACCGTAGGGCAAAGTTGAATTTTTTATTTACAGACATCACCAGAAAGCTCGTATTTTATTATGTGTTGTGTTCTCAAGGTGCAGTTGGCACTTGAGTAAAAGCAAGAGGGTCACATTGCAGCAGCCGCACTTCTGTATACCGATGTCATGTTGAGTTACTCCAGCTTGGATGCTAAAGGAATTAGCAGTTAGTCGTGCTTTGTAACATTCTAATTATTTGCTATAGCATTCATTTACTTCAATATTTTGGCAACACTATTTCTTGTTGTTTTATCTTTTAATTGTTAAAGGGGTCGTGAAACATTCTCCAAAAATTTTCCCCAATGTGTGTATTCGATCTGGACTGTCCATTCAATGCCATACCTCGACTCGTTTCATCATCCGAGTTTATTTAATATCTATAAAAGCACTATTTTGATTCCCCACTCACATTCCCCTCAACTGTTCAGCTTATGTCACTTTAAGTCAGCCTCTGAAAAGTCTCTGTCATCGACAAAACTTGGCGACGCAGCGATGTTTGCTGAACCATAGTTGGCTGAGGTTTGTGGCATCACATAATCTCGATTGCGGTGCCACAAAACAGTCACAAACGTTATCACTTTGGTAAGTTGTGTGGCGCTGTCCGACAACACACGCGGTAGGCGTAGCAAGGACTAAGCCACCCACAACATGCTGTAAAACACAATCTAACGCAATCAGTAAGAAAAACACTGGGACCTTGCCTTGGGCGAGTGAAAGTAACATGTGACGGAGCCTGGTTATACTTAAAAGCGGAATCTAGCAGACCACTCGCTATACTTCTACGGTATACACAGCTCAAAGTGCAACAATTGCTGTTATTTTTCCTTTCCTAGGCTCATATAAATTTATCATTTTGGAACAAAAGATAGCTAATGCTCTGTTTATAACTTTACTTACCATGACGTTTCACTGACTTCACATGTTAGTGTCTATGGTTGTTGGTAGGGCCACTTGGTTGTTTAGGAGCCCAAGACAACTGCCATTTCAAATGGAATCATTAATTGTAGACTGCATATTGTGCCAAAGTATTTCAGAGTTGGCATGTTTAATTCTTATTGAAGCAGGGACAATTACAACTGGGAAGCTTAATTTTTGTTTCACGACCCCTTTAATCTGTGGAATTAGAGCAAAGTAATTTTTGAAGGACACTGAATCAAGATGTAAAACACCCCTTTGATTTTCCTTTTAGAGCATCATAGAGCATTGTTGCACAAATGTTTATTGGAGATTGTGCTTGAGGCTGAATCATGACAACTTCTTTTGTACACCAAGATTGGCAAACCTGAAACATGTGCGGATTGTAAATTGTATTCAAATGTTGGTCTATTTTCACTTGTTTACATTTCATTCAATGCCAGTTTTTCATTAATGATGATGTATTGGTCACAGCTGTACACAGGCTGGATAGGCTCACATCTGGATTGTTGCTTATGAGCCGTTCAGTGGAGAGAGCCCGGGAGCTGGAGAACGAGATTAAAGGCCGGCTGGTATCCAAGGAGTACCTGTGTCGAGTCGAAGGCTGCTTTCCAGAGTGAGTACTTTGCACATATGTTCTCTGTAGTATTGTTTCACAGTGCTAGTATTTGTTTTTTTAGCATGGAAATTAAATTAAAATTGCCGAGGACCTCATTCGATGTTCCCCGGACGATGGCCTCTGGAGTGGAGACCTTGTCCAGGCTAGTAATCTTTTACTGTATTAATGAAGTTTATTACCTACCTACCTTATGCAAATTCTGTTAAAGTATAGATATTTGTGGTGATTTCAGCATTGAATTTAGTGTAATATCTTCCCGTATGTTTAGTAGCTTTAAAATAGAACTGGCTGCAAAGCACACACTGCAGGCTTCCTGACCTCAAAAATGGTGATTGGTCAGAAAGAAAGAAATAATTACTACAGGTTTCGGAACACGAATTCTAATAGTTCCGTTTAGTAAAAGAAAGGTAGCACTATCTTCAGCCCATAAGGGAGCATGGCACAGCACCACAGGGGAAGGATAATGAAAGTAATAGAAGAGGGAAGATATAGGAGATTTTGGTTAGCTTGCTCAAGAAGGTGATGGTGTAAGAAGGGGCGAGTTTCAAGTTCTCTACCTCTAATGCCAGTGAGTTCTTCGGAAACCCACTGGGTGGCGGAAGGGTTAAGAAAAGAAAAATAGACAACCACCTGTTTGTAACACGAAGCCAGAAGAAAATCTGTATGGATTTCTCAGAAAGAAAAGCTTCTTAGTTGCAAAAAAATTCGTCCTGGTCTTGGGTTCAAACTCGGGACTTTGCAGGACAGTCACTCTACCAATAGGAGGATAGCAAAATGGCGCGGCGTCTCCTACAGTACTTCCTCTTTGAGGCCTGTCCCTTCGCTGCTTTGAGGTGCCCACTACGCAGTGTAATTGGGAAGGAACCACATGAAATTCTGCAATTCATTTGTTGCCACTTGTTCAGTGATTATAATCTTCTTCTTTTTTTATTTGCGAATGGATAGACGATATTTGGCACATTTCTGAGAATCAAGCGACAAGTGGAAATGGGCTAACACGAAGAATGGTAAAAAGCAGGTTTCAATGCAGCATGCGAATATGCTTTGAAACATGCAGTAATCTTTTAGAGAACCACCTCAATTTACTATTTTTGAGCACAAATGGTGACCCCTTCAAAATCACTTACACTTATGGGCACATGCTGCCGAATGTCAACATATGTTTGGTGACAACAGAAATACGCGTACTCTGTCAAATTGATGGAAACCACTGAGCAGGTAAGAGGCCTATGGGACACAATGACTGCTTTATTAATAGTATCGCGGGACGTAAAACCATCAAAGTAGCTTTTGAAGCAATGAGAAGCGTAATATGGCGCCTTTATTGTGTCAGACTTGCAAGCGTAAAGTGCCGATAGGCTGTTGTGTGTGGATAATTTCGCATATATTGAAACAAATGTACGAGTGAGTGAGGGGACGAGATCTCTGGTTAAGAAGATGGAAAGGCGTAAGAAAGCCAGAAAACTACGAGCGCATTGGTGTCCTTGTAACACAAAAGCAAATAAATAATTTTACAGGAAAACATGGACGGATATTTTGTGATGCTATGATGTCTAGAAAATAATTTTATGTGACAAAATATGTGTGGTACCACCCTTTGCAGCGAAACAACAAGCACGTGTCCGGAGGTGCATGCCGCTTGAATGAAGAAATGACCGCTCGCACAATTATATAACTGTCTCATAGTGATTGCATCTGTTATTCAACTAAACTGCATAGCTCTTCAAAGTATTATGCAGCAATTTGTGAGAAGAGGGTACCGCGAGTGCTGAGTGCAACACACAGAAAGCGCCCCGCCGCGGTGGTCTAGTGGCTAAGGTACTCGGCTGCTGACCCGCAGGGCGCGGGTTCGAATCCCGGCTGCGGCGGCTGCATTTCCGATGGAGGCGGAAATGTTGTAGGCCCGTGTGCTCAGATTTGGGTGCACGTTAAAGAACCCCAGGTGGTCGAAATTTCCGGAGCCCTCCACTACGGCGTCTCTCATAATCATATAGTGGTTTTGGGACGTTAAACCCCACATATCAATCAATCAACACACAGAAAGCAACGGCACTGGCAAGAATGCCCGTACGGCGGCTCGGCATGTTAAACAGGAATTCGATGCACATGGGTACTGTAGCCCCCAATCCTTTGCATGAGCCATGATTTTGCTATCCATCTATTGAGCTATAACCAGGAAGCTAGAAATTGGCAGCGGGAGGGGGAATTGGTCGACAACTTTAAGCACATGGACACAATTGATTTGATTGATTGATATGTGGGGCTTAACGTCCCAAAACTACCATATGATTATGAGAGATGCCATAGTAGAGGGCTACAAAAATTTTGACCTCCTCGGGTTCTTTATTGTGCACCCAAATCTGAGCACACAGGCCTACAGCATTTCCACCTCCATCGAAAATGCAGCCGCTGCAGCCAAGATTTGATCCTTCCACCTGCGGGTCAGCAGCCGAGTACCTTAGCCACCAGACAACTGTGGCGGGGCACACATGGACACAAGTAATGCAGATGAGTTCTGCAAAAACCGACAAGGTGGCGGAAGTGTTAGGAAAAAAAAAATAGAGCAAGCTTCTTTCAATTACCCTTATGCGGTGAGGCTTATTGGCCAAAAGTATATTTTTCAAGCAAAGCTTGCAGACAAGTGTTTGCTTGTGAAAGCTACCCGATAAAGTAGTTTTCGACCACAAACCACAGTTCAGCTCGACTAAATTTGAAGATTTCTTTTAGGAATGTGGCATACACCATTGCTTTTCTTCTGTCCTCAAATCTCTTGTTTTTATGGCAGCCTATGAGCAACGTGAGATCCGTGGCGCCATGACAGACTACACATCTACTGCTGCACACCTAATGCCACAACAGGAGTCAAATGAGTCACACCTGCTGTTTTGCTACACAGATGACTCCCGCAAATGCGATTAAGCATTGTTTCATTATGGGGCATTTCATTTCATGAAAATCCAGCACAGGTGATTAAACACCTATGTCAGGGTTTCACCCAAAAACAAGCATTTTCCAAGCCTTACACAGACTGCCGTCGTTGATCCTCGAGAGGACACTTTGCCACCTGCGACTATGTCCGCGTGATAAAGTAGTCAGCTCGCAAGAAAATATTTTCACACTTTTTGGAACCGAAGAAGATTATTGAGCAACAAGAGCCAGCCTCAGTTCTCTTCTCAAGCATGCACAAATCAAGCATGCACACCGCATAAGCACCTTTTTCATGCAGAGGTGCGGGCCGGTGATCATTCTTTTCTGCTAGTTTATACATTGTTCACGGGTACTATCATCTCGCTCCAAATGTAAAGCTAACAATGTTTTTATATTCGAGGGCTCTTTGCCAGCCAGCTGCAAGTAAACACTTTACAAAGTTTGCCAGAAGCCAGTCTAGCACGACAGAGGAGACCAAGTTTTAGCTACGTTACAATAAGTTATACATCAACAACTGGTGCTAGATCTATGATCATTTAACTAAGGGGCCCTGCAACACTTTTTGGGCATAGTCAGAAAACACTGCCAATCGGTAGTAGAGGCTCCCAAGAACACATGAGCCAAATATTATAGCACAACACGCTGCCTGCAATTCACAATAAATTATCAAAGTTGGCTATAAATTGCTTTCTCTTCTCTCGACAAATGATGAAGGAAGCTAAAAAATCACTCGTAGAAGGCCTTCTATCAGCCATTGGCTGATTTAAAGATGGCAAACTCGCTGCGAGAGGCCGCGACTTCTCCACATGGGCATGCGCGATCACACTGAAGAAGCCAAGTATTTTAAAAAAAGTGCTCCAGGTCACGTGGCGCGCAAGACGTTTTTTCTTTGCCCATGCCATTCCCTCCCCTCCCCCCTTGCTTAGCTTCCAGCGCTTTCGTCTCGATGAGAGAAGAGAGAATGCCATTGCAGCGTGCGACAAATCTTTGTCACTCAACTCGTACGAGATGAATTCTTGAAATTTTTGCGGCGTTAAATTAGTGAGGCAGTAAGCTCTTTTAGTGAATCCATTCCACGGTTACTTGTAAAAGTGTTTCAGGGCTCTTTTAATATGAATGGCTCATCTGCAGAAGCAGGTCAGATGGTCAGCCACACATGACTGTGAGCCACAATTTTCAAAGCATGCCTAGTCTGGTAAGGTGACAATATTCAAAGCAGCCAAAGAACTTCACAACATTTCTTTGAAACAGATGTTTACAAGCTTTACCAAAGGAACATTGTGATTACTTTTAGCCGACAGAAAATACTACAATTATTTAAACTGAGTGGCAAATAGAGCCTTCGAAATACTTGGTAACAGCTGACTGAAATATAGCAGCGACTACAGTATTCAAGGTGTTACTTTGTCTACAGCTTTTAAATAAAACTGATTCCTAAATAATAAGCAATTTTCATGATGAATTATCGTCATCATGAATTTGATAGTGAAAATAGTTGATTACTGACACTGGGGTTTTAAAAGGCCACTCACCATGGTTGACAATTTCGAGCTGACAAGAGCAATGCGTAGATGGGATGTTCACTATCATGTTTGCCGAAATTCGAAACGCTATGCACCGCGGAAATGGGTCACATTTCAGGATGAACGCTGCTCCCCTTTCCTTTCGTGGGCGCATGCCCAGAGAATGAGGGCATGATGTGCACATATGAATTGCCCTACGTACAGAACAGTGCAGTGACGTTGGTCCTCTATGTAGACAACTGTGCTCTGACATTGCCAACAAAGGCACGTGACATGACGAAAATTATTTAACACGGCATGCATAGTTTACGTAATTTCTTGCTTGAAGAGATTAATAAAACTAGAGATAAATAATGAGACACAATAAGGGAATATGCCCATCTGTTTTCCACCTTTTTCCCGTGAATTGCAACGAGATGCAGGGCTAATTTGCCTGCGTGTGTTTGTGTCCACGTGGTTAACGCCAGGAAAAGAAATTAATGCTCCTGCGCGTTCGAGCGCTCATTGTACTCATCTATTTTACCGCATCTAAGCCAGCGTTTTCAAACCATCCTGCAGAAACAGGCAGTAGACCACAAAATAACGCTGGTCAACAAAACAACGCCGCTCGCGAGCTTGGTGGTTGGGCTTGTTCGGGCACATCATGCTAACGTGACCTCTTGGTCAGATGCCAGAGAGGGTAGGGAACAGA